TCAAGAAAGCATTGATCAAGAAGGCAAAATCAGACATTACCTACCCTCATTTATTATGATTGGAACAGAACTATAATGTGCATATCATTTTGCATTGATTACACAAGTAGTCACATTTTTTAAAGATCTGAGGCAGAGAGGTCAGACTCCCTTTGTCTGAATTATCTGAAGCAAACAATAAAGGATACTGTGAGCTAGTAGGTAGTGGACACTATAACACAGACATGATGGTTTCTACTATAAATCTCATCTACAGGTTGGGACTGCATTTTCCATCGCACATTTATTAAAGAATTGGACTGACATCATGCTGAAAACCTTTTCAATCACCCACACATAATTGGGATGTTTAATTAAGTGATGCACTTAATGTGCAAACTCAACACTTCCAGAGATGCTGCTATTAAACTCGGTTGTAATAAGGCAGGATGCTTTTGTCAGACAATTTTTGAATTCATTTTTATGACATCTACACTCACTTTTTAGATTCATTTGAAGAGGGATATGGTCCTGGCAGTATGTCTGCCCTAACAACTTTGTGACCCCTTCTATGAGGAGAAGGAAGAATCCACAAACATGTTTATTGTACATGTACTTTTAAGTAGCCTAATGTTATAACCTTTCTGTTGGAGAATAATGCCTATGTCTACCCTTATACCACTTGACTCACCTCAGGACCATCTCAGAATTTTTCTGCTCTCATTTCAGTGTACATAACTATATCCTGATTTTTCAGGTAGATGGTATTTGTTGGTATGAATATCAAAGCATTAAGAATTTGCTTAATTTATCTAATAACAAAATAAAGATTAATGGGGTTCAATTTGGGGTACATCACTCTAAGTTTTAGACCTGCCAATATAGTAAGCACAAGGTGAAAGAAAAAGGGAAATCTCCCCAGATATGCGAACTGTTTACTTTCCTTCACTCTTAAAGAGTTTGACTAATAACCTAAGTATTTACTGGAACACCCACTGAGTTATGCCCATCAGACTTTGTTTTGCTTTTCTGTCTGAAAGTGTCCACGAATTCCGTTCTCACCTCTGCCACACATCTAAGTACTATTCAGTCATAGGAATGTTTGCATGCATCAGTTTTTATAGCTAGTAGAAAATATGTTGGTCAATTTCACACTAAACTGAAAAGCTATATAAATTCCTCTAGAGTTATCCATATCTATGTGTGAATCCAGAATTTTTTAAGTCTGATACTATTTTTATCTGAATATTATTGAATAGTGTAGTAGCAAGATTTTTACATGCACTCAAGAAATCACTCTTCTTTTGTGTCAGAAAACTCCTAGGTAGCTCCTGGTAGCAAAACCACACAAGTCTATAATAACTGAACTGTCAAAAGGATAAAACCAAAAATGTGTCACTTAAAATTACTCACAGAAATGCAGACATTTTGAATTTTGAAAATTATATATATATATATGTGTGTGTGTGTGTGTGTATAAATATATATATATATATATATATATATATATATATATATTACATTAGGATATTGGGAAATCTAAATACAAAATACAATTGATAGTCACAGGTTTTGATTTCTTTGTTTGATGGTTGATTGGCTTGGTTTCAGTGTGTGTGTGTGTGTGTGTGTGTGTGTGTGTGTGTGTGTGTGTGTATTTAGATGACAGTATCAGCTTTCATTAAATATTAGAAATCCTTCAGATATATTTTCCTACCTCTATTTTGAATTTTCTCATGTGTTTTGGTACATATTTAGGGAAGTACAGAGTTCAGTTAGTTGTATGTTAGCTGGCTTATCTTTCTAGTATCGTTTCATCTATTACAGATAGTAGTTTTTCAGAGAAGGCCACAGTCTCGTTAAAATGTGAATGCATCATGTACATATGAGCTATGCTTGTATAACTTCAGCATGGCCATGACGTGGCAGATACATTTATGCCATTGCCATCTGTAAGGCGCTCACAAGTCATTAGAGGCTTGAAGTAAAATTAAACCATTCTGCATAGTGAGAGGACTGACTAATAAGCTTTTGAATTGTAGAGACAGCAGACAGTTTACTTTGGCCAAATACGAAGTCAGTCACAATAACATGGAACTACAAAGTCCTGTCCTTTGTAGCAGCTGGAACCTGACTGTGAGCTTTGGAACACTATGGCAGGCCTCCACTTACAAAATTGCCCTAGAAATTTCACTTGTGAGCTGTATGCGCAGAGCACCTTTCCTTGGAAAAATAGGCATTTAAGTGAAAAGAGATGACCAAGTGACTACTGAAGAGTAACAAGGAACTGTCAGGAAAGAAAGACAGTAAGATTCTCAAGAAAAGATCACCTCCATGGAAGGTGCATAGTTATGCAAAAATAGCTGTGAGTAGACATGTGTGTTCCATACCAGTGTGTCCGCCTTCTTCTTCCATCCTGATTTGTTTCCTTCTGTCTTTCTGTTGTCTACCATCTGGTCTGTCTACACTGGCACTCCTGAGATGAAACTATGCCATGTTTTTCTCTGCCCCTGAGGTGCTAATTTTCCCACTATAAGAGACTATAAAGTGAATCATTGTTGGAAAAGGACACATTTTTGTAGCTTGAATTTTTCCATATATATATATATAGATATATATATATTTGGAAATATATTATTTTAATTATTTGATTTGTTTATCAAAGAACAAGTGATTAAACTGAGAGTTTTTTAACTTTTTAAATAGCAGAGCACCCTGAAACACATAATTGTAATTAGTTACTCTTATTTATCATGACAAAGTCTGGCTAAGACCTGGAGCTTCTGACCTTCCTTCTTTAGTCTCCAACTAAACTGGCTGACTTGACATCACACAATAAGGATGCTACTTAGTATGGTGAACTGATATATAATAATTCATATGTATGCCCACATAGAGTTAATTCAGAAATATTTTTGAAAATCACAGGATTAATTTGGCCCATTGTTTTTTCTCACATATTTTAAAACTGAATCAAATTAATCTATATTTCCATACCATAATGGAAAAATAGAGGATACAGATTTTTCTTAGTGTTAAAAATATAACTTTGGCCGGGCGGTGGTGGCGCACGCCTTTAATCCCAGCACTCGGGAGGCAGAGCCAGGCGGATCTCTGTGAGTTCGAGGCCAGCCTGGTCTCC